CCCCCGGCGCCGCCGCCCCCCGGCCGGGACGCGGTTCCCCCTCCTCACACAGGAGCCGCCGCCGCCATTTTGAACCCGTCAGAGCCTCACATACACACCGACGCCACGCGCACGCGCCGCGCGCACGGGGGCCCCCCCCCACCCGAACCCGCGCGTCGCGCGTGCGCCGTGCACTCCCCAGCCCGGCCCCGCCCCGCGCGCGCGCGTCTAGGGCACGGCCCCGCCCACCCCCATACAGACCACGCCCCTCCCGCGACCACGCCCCCTCCACCGCGTGGCCACGCCCCTGGCGGGGGGGGCTGGAGAGGGGGAGGCCCGGGGGGATTTTGGGGGGGCTCCTGGCCCAAAACGCCCCGCCGTGAGTCCCTCGGTGTCCCCACGGGCTTCGGGGCTGCCCGCACGGCTCTGCACGCCTGCATGGGGATCTGGATGCAGAGACACCGGCAGGTACCTACATCCACCCAGGTAACTAGGTGCAGCTCCTTAGTTATACACTATAAACAGTGTTTTTATAAACTATACATTATAGCCTAACTGTATGCAGTGATACATAAAGTAAATATAGTGATATGGATGGTTATAAATTAACTATATAGTTAGATATACATTATATATAATATATAAATATAAAAACGTGTGTATGTAACTATGCATGTGGTTATAGACCTGTTTGTGCAGCACGCACCTGGACACACCTGGACACACCTGGACACATGCTCACACACACCTCAACCCAAAATCGGACGGTGACCCCATCCCGGTGGTCTCTCATCCACCCTGGGCCCATGGCAGGACCCCGACACCCACACCATGTCCCTGACACCCACACCATGCCCCCGACACCCACACCATGTCCCCAATGCCCACACCATGTCCCCAACACCCACCCCATGTCCCTGACACCCACACCATGTCCCCTGACACCCACACCATGTCCCTGACACCCACCCCATGTCTCTGACACCCACCCCATGTCCCTGACACCCACACCATGCCCCTGACACCCACACCATGCCCCCAACACCCACACCATGCCCTCGACACCCACACCATGTCCCCAACACCCACACCATGTCCCCAATGCCCACACCATACCCCCAACACCCCACCCCCCCCATGCCCCCGACACCCACCCCATGCCCCTGACACCCACCCCATGCCCCCGACACCCACCCCATGTCCCTGACACCCACCCCATGTCCCTGACACCCACACCATGTCCCCAACACCCACACCATGCCCCCGACACCCACCCCATGTCCCCGACGCCCCCAGGCCGTGCAGGGGCTGCTGCTGCCCCAGGGACCGTCCACGCCGATGACTTTTGTGTCACTTTAATGGCAGCAGGTCGCCCTGCGGTCACCCCGTGCCACCCTCCGGCGCTGGCCTGCCAGCGGGAAGGGGAGCCCCCAGGTCAGTTCTCTGTCCCCAGAGCCCGGCTGGCAGGGGGTGCTGGCACCCATAGTGGCACTGGGATCCCTGGCACAGGGACAGGACGCTGGCATCCCTAGCGGGAAAGGGACAGGACGCTGGGATCCAGGCGTGACAGTTCATGGCAGGAATGCTTTCCTGCTGTCCCCCCGCGGTGACCGGCGGTGCCAGCCCCGGGTCGGGACGGTGGCAGCGGCGTTCCGGTGGCGGAGGCAGAGGTGTGGCAGCAGCCGCGGTGCGGTCGCAGCTCGGGGACAGCAGGAGATCCCGGGGGGGCTGTGCCGAGCCGGGGGGCTCAGAGGATCACGCAGACCCTCCTGTGTCCCGCCTTGCGCTGCCTCCGGCGGGCGGCACTGATGGCGGCACTGCAGGCTGTCACAAAGATGTTCCCGACGTTATCCTGGTACCTGGCCGAGCATTCCATGTAGGACACGGCGCGGACCTGCCGGGCCATGGCCTCTCCCTGCGGGGACACACACCGTCAGGCCTCCCCAGGATCCCTCTGTCGCACTATCCCGCGCAGGGGACCACCCCTGTCCTGTCCCGTGTCCTGCCACCGGGAGGTGACACCCACCTGCTGGCGGGAGACGGGCTCTATTCGTCCGTCCTTCAGCTTCTGCAGCGCCTCCTGGTCCTGCCGCAGGTCCGTCTTGCAGCCCACCAGCAGCACCGGGACCCCCTTGCAGAAGTGGTTCACCTCCGGGTACCACTGGGAGGGGACACGTCACCCCGGGATGGGCGCGTGCCACCCAGGGATGGGGACGGGACACAGGCAGCACCCCCGGGGTTGGTTACCTTCGTTAGGATGTTGTCAAAGCTGTTGGAGTCGGTGACATCAAAGCACATGAGGACAACGTTGGCATCCGAGTAGGACAGAGGGCGAAGCCTGTCATAGTCTTCCTGTCCTGCCGGGTGGAGAAGGAAACCATTGCACAGCAGCCTGTCACGTGAAAGTGACATCTGTGGGGATGGCTGCGGGTCAACCCCCCCCTGCCACGGCCATGGGGACCCCTAGGAGGGGACACCCTCCATGGCACCACCACGCTCGTGGGACACCCCAAAACTCCTGTGTGGGAGAGTGGGGGGCACAAGGGCCCGGCCTGTCCCCTGCTGTCCCACCTGCTGTGTCCCACAGGTGGATCTTCACGGGCTTGCCGGCAACCTGGAGGGACGCTGTGTACTTCTCGAACACGGTGGGGACATAGACCTGGCAGGGGACAGCGACACAGGTCACACAGGCAGCTGTGGGGGGCAGCGACAGAGGGGACCCCAGTGGGGACGGAACAGAGCACAGGGAGGGAAGCAGGCAGTGGGAAATGGTGCTTCCTCCCCGGGGCAATGGGACGGGAAGCACCCTTGTCCCCCATCCCAGAGCACATGGATGCCCCAGGGATTCAGGACAGGGGTTCTGGGGTCTCTGTGGCTGCCCCCCTTCCCTGCACTCCCTGAGCCCCTATGTGCCCTCACCGAGGGACAAACCCTGCTCCCCAGTGACTCCCCAAGAGAGGCAGAGGGGTCACAGACCCCCATCATCCCCAGGCTGGGCCACCCCTGCCCCCCGTCCCCATGCCCCGCTTCAAACGGCCCTGCCCTTCACTGCTGCCACCGTGCCTGTCCCACCGCCCTTTGCCCGGCACGGGGACAGTCACCCACCCACCAGGGGACAGGCATCCCGGTACCTTGGGGAAGTCCCCTTTGGCGAAGGCCACCAGCAGTGACGTCTTCCCGCAGCCGCCATCCCCCACGATGACAGCCTTGACCTCGGTTTCGGGGGCTCCTGGGCTCTGCTCCCCGCGCTCCCGCTGCATGGGGGTGTCCGGTGAGGCCACGGAGCCCGAGTGGCCTCGGCGGGGACAGGGATGGGGACAGGGAGGCGGGAAGCACCCGCCCGGTCCAGGGTGCGGCTGTCCCCCGCCCGCCGGGCCCGCCCGCCGCGGGGCTGGGGCCGCGGCCGTCACAGTGGCCGGGACACACGTACAGGTGTCCTGGCACACAGGTGACCTTCTCCCGGCAGGTCCTCGCGGCGCACAAGCGTCACACTGCCACCTGCGTGTCCTGCCTGCCTGTGTGACGCTCCCTCGCGCTCCTGCCCGCTGCCTCAGGCACACTCTCATCCCCTGATCCCACTCCCCATCCCAACCCCACTGCCGCAGATCCCCCTGCACAGCGCAGCCAGCAGGGATGGGACCCCTGTGCCCTCCCCGACGCCCCATTCCTGCCTCTGAGCCGGGGGTTTATTGTTATTGCCCTGAGCATCCGCGGGAGGCAAAGTCCAGGGGTGGAGCGAGGCACGGGGGGTGACTCACTGCCCTGGCCCCGATGTCACTGCCGCCCCGGCTGTCACACCCGCGCTGCGCCGTGAGGGGCAGCCACCCAGCTCCTGTCTTTTCCTAGTGATTCCAACCCGGGTGGGACAGGCTGTGACACCCCGCTTTGCTCGGGGACATGCCATCCCAGCAGTGATGTCCCCCCGTGCCCCCGTTTGGATGCCCCCAAGACCCCCTCCCCTCCCCTCTTCTGCCACCCCAAAACTTTGGTGGGGGTGAATGGGTGCTTCTTGTGTACGACTGCAGGGAGGGACGTGTGGCTGTCCCCTGCCACCCTCTCTGCCACCAGCCTCTCCAGGCTCTGCCAGTGAGTACCAGCCTGTCCAGGAGGGCTCTGGAGCCCCCAGACCAATTGGAGTGAATCCAAAGGGGATGGCTCAGACAACAAATTCCAAATTCTCACCCAGGCCTGGTGCAGGATGAAGTCGGAGGAGAGGGATTCTCATGCTGGGAGGCTGGGAGGAAAATGCACGCGGTAATGAACAATCTCAGAAGGATGCCAGCATCGGGGCAGGATGGGGAGAGGAGGCTGGAGCACTATCAAACAATTAGGAAGGTGGCAATTACCAGTCTAATGAGAGATCAGGTTGAATCCTAAAAGCATCAAGATTCTTTCACAGCGAGATGTAACTGCTGCAGTGTTTGTCCTCTGGGGTATTTGCTCGGACAAAACATTTCCTTTCCCGCAAGACCAACAGAATTTTGACAGGAGAAGAGGCAGCCTGTGTGCAACTGCCCAGTGCTCTCAGTGCCTGACCCGTGATTGTGCAGAAACGCCCCAAAAAGCAGCTTTATTTGGGGACAAATAGGCTGCTTGGAGCTTCTGAGGTCGCGGAGATCCCAGTTTTCCTCACTGGAGAAGACCGTGGCGAGGAGCACCGGAGGCAGGGAGCGAGCGTGCCCTGCTTGGGCACACCAACAGGTTGGCCCCAAGGACAGGTAGGGGATCGGGACCAGAGTCCAGCCCTGGGCACTGCTTGTTTCTCCCTGCATGTCCCCAAAGCCCCTCTCACAGCTCCCATGGTTGTCCTCAGTCGGGATGACTGGATTGATCCAACCCCACCTCTGCCCTCACCTCACCCCCAGCCATCCCACGGCCCCCCTGCCCCCAGCCCTGCTGTGCCACCTGACCGGGACCCCCCTCCCTTCACATCCCCACTAACCCCCCTCTGCTCTGGCCACAGCTGGGGACCACATCCCACCTTCCACCATGGAGCTGAACCAGACATCCCCACCTCCCTCATCTCCCGTGATGGACACGGAGGGAGATGATTCCTGTGGGATCAATGTCACCGATGTGGCCATAGACGGTGTCACTCTGCTCATCTGCCTCTGTGGGCTGGCTGGGAACGGGGCTGTCCTCTGGCTCCTCGGATTCCACATCCGCAGGAACCCCATCACTGTCTACATCCTCAACCTGGCCGTCGCCGACTTCACCTTCCTCCTCTTCATGGTCCCCTCCTCCCTGCTCTACCTGCTGGAGGACGTGTCCTGCTCCACTGTCGTGTCCCTGAAGTACCTGAGGTCCCTTCTCCTGCTGTCGCTGTTCTCCTACAACATGGGGCTGTACCTGCTGACAGCCATCAGCATCGAGAGGTGCGGTTCAATTCTCTTCCCCCTCTGGTACCGCTGCCGCCGTCCCCAGCGCCTCTCATGGGTGGTGTGTGCCCTGCTCTGGGCCCTCTCCATCGCTGTCATGGTCGTGGTGACCTCCCTGTGCCTGTCACACGAGCACGAGCACTGCCGGGTGGCTCTCATCACCATGTACGCCCTCAGCTTCCTCATCTTTGCTCCACCCATGGTCATCTCCAATGTGATCCTCTTCATCAAGGTCCAGTGTGGCTCCAAGAGACGTCAGCCTAAGAGGCTCTACATCGTTATCTTCCTCACTGTGCTCTTCTTCCTCATCTTTGGAGTGCCCCTCAGCCTCTGGAATTTCCTCCAGCAGCTCAGCCCCACCCTCGTGTCCTCCCAGGTGGTTTTCCTGCTGGCCTGCATCAACAGCAGCATCAACCCCTTCATCTACTTCTTGGTGGGGAGCTGCTGGAGGCGCTGCTCCGTCGTGTCCCTCCAGGTCGCCTTCCGGAGGGTCTTTGAGGAGACAGGGATCACCACAATGTCCAGCTGAGAGGTCGCTGTGGTCCCACCATCCGTGCTGCCCACGCTGGCTTCATGCTCAGCTGCCCACCCTTGCTCCCAGCCAGGCCTGCAGCTCATCTTCCTGCAGCTGTGAGTCAGGATGCATCCCACAGCTTTTCCATCCCTTTTCCCATCCCACTGATCCATGTTGTTGTGTCTATCCCTATCCCTATCCCTGTTCCTGTCCCTGTCCCTGTCTCTGTCTCTATCATTGCATCCCCATCCTATCTACATTCCCACCCCAGTCCTATCCCCAAACTATCCTTATCTCGGCTCCCCTTCCCTGTTGCCTGTGCCTATCCCATGCCGTGCCATGCCATGCCGTGCCATGCCATGCCGTGCCATGCCGTGCCGTGCCATCCCGCAGGTTTCCCAGCCGGCGTCCGCTCCGAGCGCGATCCGTCGGGCTCTGCTGCCCTCCTGTGGGAATATTTGGAATTGCCGGCATCCGGACCCTTCCCGATCCCCTCTGCCATCCCAGATCCCCCGTGGGGACGCCTTCCCCACAGCCAGCCCCGCTCCAGCCCGCTCCGCCCGGGATCCCCGGCAGTGTGTCCACTCCTGGCCATTCCACGCTCCTGTACCCCAATAAACGCTGATGGATCCATCCCGCTGTCGCCTCTGGTCCCTCTCCAAGGGAGGCTGGGGGGCGGGACATCGTGGGGGAAGCTCTGGAGGGGGATGTCCCAGGGAAACAGTTCCCGAAAACCTTACAGGGCAGCCTGGGGTGAGCAGCCCCTGGGGAGGGACTGGAGCCTCAGCACGGGGCTGGGAGGGATGGGAAGGACGGGAGTGGGTGGGCTGCATGGGGAGTGGGATGGGAGGTCGTGGGGTGGATTAAGGAAGTGGTGGGGCTTGTGGGCAGGTGTTGGACATAGTGGGAAGATGTGGGATGTGGTGGGGCTGCAGAGAAGGTGTGGGATGTGGTGGGGCTGGTGACCTCAGTGAAGCCCTAGGGAGGTGGGTGGTGCCCCACAGTGCCTGTGGTGACAAACACAGGTGTCACCTTGCTCCTGGAAGGGGGTGGTTGTGCTGAGGACCATGACCTCCTCCTCTCCTTGCTGCTGCACCATCGGAGCTGAGGGAGCAGCTGAAGGCCGTGGAGAGGAAGAATTTCTGAAGGCAGAGAGATCTTTGCACCTGACCTGGCTCACAAAATTAAAAATTAAAGATCTGTGGGGAGATCCCTGCTGTGACACTCACAGAGCACTTGGGGTGGGCAATGCTGAGCCCCTGAGCCATCGTGTCCGTGCCACTGTGCCGCTGCCAGCCCAGCTCTGGGCACTCAAGATCACTGTTCCTCCAGGGAACAAGCCCTGTGTGTGTCCCCTCCCTCCAGCCACATTCCCGGCTGGCAGCAGGAGGCAGAGGAAGCCGGGAAGCGCTGGCAGAGGGGGCAAAGGCAGCTCAGGGTTCACAGTGCTGTTTATTGATGTCACACCCCAGTGGAATGCAGGAACCAGGTGCCAGGGGGAATTTTGGGATCACAGCCGTGTTGCAAAAGACCCGTGAGGGAGGAGCAAAACCCTGCTCCAATGTGCTCCCTGCAGAGCATCCCTCCCACATGGCCCTTGTCACTGCCCCTGCTCCCTTCTCCTGCAGGATTACAGCACAACGGGGAGGGTGATCCCATGGATATTTATTAATCAAGTGACTCAAGGAAATCCTCAGCCACTCTGCCAAGGTCCTTCAGCAGAGCAGGGAAGGGATCAACAGGCTGGAAAGGCTGTGTCCATGGCAGGATCATCACTGTGGGCAGTGTTTTCTTCTGGCTCCTCAAAGACCCTCTGGAGGGAGAGCCGGAGGGATCCCATGGAGCAGGGCCTCCTGCACCTCCCCACCAAGAAGTAGATGAAGGGGTTGATGGTGCTGTGGATGCAGGTGAGCAGGAAAACCACCTGGGAGGGCACAGCGATGTAACCTAGCTGCTGCAGGAAATTGGAGAGGCTGAGAGGGAGAGCAAAGAGGAGGAAGAAGAGCACAACGAGGAAAATAACAGTGTTGAGTCTCTTGGGCTGCTGCTGCTGCTGGGAGATACACTTGACCTTAATGAAGAGAATTGAGCTGGAAATGACCATGGCTGGGGCAAAGAGGAAGAGGTTGAGGGCATACAGGGTGATGAGAGACACCTGGCAGTGCTCGTGGTCCTGTGAGTGGCACAGGGCAGTCATGGTGACAATGACAGCGATGGAGAGGGCCCAGAGCAGGGCACACACCACCCATGAGAGGCGCTGGGGACGGCGGCAGCGGTACCAGAGTGGACAGAGGATGGATGTGCACCTCTCGATGCTGATGGCTGTCAGCAGGTACAGCCCCAGGTTGTAGGAGAAGAGCAGGAGTGGGAAAAGCGCCCTGAGGAACACCAGGGGCACGACTGTGGAGCAGGACAATTCCTCCAGCAGGTAGAGCAGGGTGGAGGGGACGGCGAAGTGGAGGAAGGAGAAGTTGGCGAAGGCCAGGTTGGTGATGTAACAGGTGGTGGGGTTCCTTTGGAGAAGGCAGAGGACAGCCCCATTCCCGGCCAGCCCACACAGGCAGATGAGCAGTGTCACACTGTCTACGGCCACGTCAGTGACATCAATATCACACAGATCGTCTCCTTCAGTGGGTGAGGCAGGAGGTTCACCAGGAGCTCCCCACTCCCGTCCAGCCGGCTCCTCTCTGTGTTTTGTTCCGGTGTTGCTCCCCAAGGCTCCGTGGAATCACGGGGGAGTCGGAAATTGCATATTTGGCTTAGTCAGAGCTCCACTTCTACAGAGTCATTTATCACGATTTTTTCTTTGGTTTTTTTTTTTTTTTTTCCTACAGAGGAAGTGGCTTTTGCCAGACACCGCAAACAGAATTTTGCAATTGGCTCATCATTTTATCCTGATTAGAAACACTCCTTCCCTGCAGAATGTCCCTTTCTCCAACTGCCGCCTCTCTCCCGACAGGCTTCTACCATTCCTTGTTTCTCTTCCCTGAGGAGTCATCGTCCCTCCAGCAGCAGAGGGATGCTGGTGGTGCTGGTGGCACTGGAATGCCGGCAGCGCTGATGATGAAGCCGCTGGATCCTCGTCAGAAGCATTTCGCATTCTGGGAAGAGCTCCGGGATCATTGCCAAAACCTCCTCAAAGGGCCAAAGGACGCTCAGCTGAGCTTCCTCGCCCTCTCCCAACCCCATCCTCATCCCTGCTCCCCATCCCGCTCTCCATCCCATGCTCTCCCCATCCTCTCCCGTCCCGCAGCTTCCCGGGCCGCCGGCGCCTCCCAGCTGCGAGCGCGGCCCGTCGGGCTCTGCTGCCCTCCAGTGGCCACATTTGGGATCGCCAGCACCCAGGCAGCCTCCGAGCCCCCCGACCCTCTCCTGACCCTTCCTGACCATTCCTGACCCTTCCTCATCTCCTCGAACACCCCAGATCACCCCCCGCCGGCCACCTTCCACCCCGACAGCCCCGCTCCTTCCCTGCTCCACCCGGCACTGTCTCTGCCCGTCCTGGCCATGGTGTTCTAGGACCCGGGAGGGAGGAGGAAAGCCCTGCTCCCGTGTGCTCCCCTCAGAGCATCCCTCCCACATGCCGGTACTCCCTTCTCCTGCAGGATTACACCGCGAGAGTGTTCCAAACGAGTGTTTGAGATCGCTGAAAAAGTCACCGCCAAAGGGATCAGTAAAAGCCGCATTTAATGTTAAAGCAGCACAACAGAATTCATTGGCCAGGAGCATTTCTGAGGTCTCAGTGTGGACTGGAAAGAGGGTGAGGATGCACCAGCAGAGGGAGGGTGATACTGTGGATATTTATTGATCAGATCACTCAAGGAATCCCTCAGCAGTGGCAGGAATCAACAGAGCACAATGTCCATGGTGGGATCATTGCTGCAGGCAGTGTGTCCTTCTGTGTCCCCAAAGACTCTCAGGAGGGCCTTCCTTAGGGACCCCATGGAGCAGGGCCTCCTGCAGCTCCCCACTGAGAAGCAGATGAAAGGGTTGATGATGCTGTGGATGCAGGCGAGCAAAAAAACCACTGGGGATGACACAATGATGTAGCTGAACTTCTGCAGTAAAGTCCAGAGGCTGAGTGGGAGAGTGAAGGGGAGGACGAAGAGCACAGTGAGGAGGATAAAGATGCTGAGTCTCTTGTGTTGCTGCTGCTGGGAGGCAGGCTTGACCTCAATGAAGAAAATTGTGCTGGAAATGACCATGGCTGGAGCAAAGAGCAGGAAGTTGAGGGCATTCATGGAGGTGAGAGACACCTGGGGCTTGAGTGTCAGGCACAGGATAACCACTGTAACAAAGGGGAGGGCCCAGAGAAGGACAATCAGAAAACCTGACAGGTGCCAGGGACGGTGGCAGGGGTACCACAGTGGGCAGAGGATGAATGTGCACCTCTTGATGGTGATGGCTGTCAGCAGGTAGAACCCCGTGGTGTATGAGAACAGCGAGAGCAGGAAAAACAACCTCAGGTACTCCTGGAGCATAATAGTGTAGCAGGAAACTTTCTCCAGCAGGTGGAGCAGGATGAAGGTGACCACAGAGAGCAGGAAGATTAAGTCGGTGACAGCCAAATGGAAGATACAGACTGTGATGGGGTTCCTGCAGAAGCTGAGGAGGCAGAGGAGAGCTCCGTTCCCAGCCAGCCCAGAGGCAGATGAGCAGATATCAATCCCACATGTGTTATCTCCTTGAGTGTGTGAGGCGGGAGATGGGGACACGGTGGTCACCTCCATGGATGGACACTGGGCAGGCAGTGGGATGTGGCCCCTGGCTGTGTTCAGCATGGACGGGCAGTCAGTGGTTGGAGAATCCAGGGATGGACCATGTGGCTCCTCAGCAGCTCCCTGCAGTGGGAAGGATTCAGAGGAGAGGAGTAAGATGTGCAGGGGAGGAGGGTGGTGGGAATGGTGGGGTGGGAAAGTGTTGGGCTGTTCACCAGGAGACGCAGAAGGGAAGCTCAGGGCAGAGGAGGGGGAGCTGTGGAGGGCACTGCGGTCACAGGAGAGGGTGGCAGGAACAGAGCAGCTGCTGCAGGAGAGGAAGGTGGGGTAGGGAGGAAGGAAACCATTCCACTGACCTGTTCCCTGTGGGGCAGCAGCAGGCAAAGGGGTCTGTGCAGATCAGCGGCGCTTCCTGGTACCTCTTGCTGCTTTGGGATCCATGTCCTAAAGTGGCTCCTGCCAGGTCAGTGACATGAAGGAGAAAGTGCCCAGATCACCAGGAGCTCCCCACTCCCGTCCCACCACTGGCTGTCCATGCTCAATCCTGTTGTTGTCCCCATGACTCGGTGCAGTCATGGGTAGTCAGAAATTGCATCTTTCACTATGTCAGAGCTCCACTTCTGCAGAGGTGTTTATCCTGGGTGGATTGGGTTTTTTTGGTCGTGGTTTTTTTTTTTTTTTTTGCTACAGAGGAAATGACTTTTGTCAAAAGCTCCAAATGAAACACTTTGGCTCATCATTTTATCCTGATTAGAAACACTCCTTCCCTGTAGAGTGTTACACTCTACAAATGCCTTCCCTCTCCAGACAGGCTTCCACCATTCCTTGTTTCCCTTCCCTTTGGGGTCACGGTCCGTCCAGCAGCAGAGGGATGCTGGTGGTGTTGGTGGCACTGGAATGCTGCCAGTGCAGGCAGTGCTGGTGAGGCAGCTGGGAGCTTCTCAGAAGCAACTCTTGTTGCCCAGGAAGGGCTCTGAGATCGTTGCCAAAACATTCTCTGAGCCCAAGGAAGCAGAGCTCAGCTGCTCCATATCCTATCTCATCTCATCCCCACAGCTGATCCCCCACCCCACTCTCCATCCTCACCCCATCCTATCAAATCCCACAGCTTTCCCAGACGAGCCATTCCCCACTCTGAGTGTGGCCCGTCAGGCTCTACTGTCCTCCAGTGGGGAGATTTGGGATTGCCAGCACTAAGACCACTTCCAGCTCCCTCTGACCCTATCCTGACTCCTCTGAAACTGCCTCCAACACCCCAAACTGTCCCTGGGGCCCCCTTTTCCACCCATCAGCCCTGATCCTGCCCTGCTCCACCTGAGACCCTGGCAGTGTCCCTGCTCCTCCTGGCCAAAGTGTGCTAGCATCCAGGAGGGATGCGGAAAGCCCAGCTCCAATGTGCTCCTCAGGAGAACAGAGGATGATAAACATGGTTGGAGCCAGTGCAGAAACAGATTAGGAGGTTTGCAGTGGTTTTGGGACAAGTTCTGTAACAAGAAGCAAGAGCACGTGGCCAAAGGAAAAGTTCAAGGCAGGGTCACCTTTAATATCTCAGCACTCAGGGAATACAACCACCAGAGACCCCTCCGAATGATCCTCCAGGGCCAGGAGAGGACTTGGAGAAGGAGGTGTATTCATGGAAATGAGTCCTAGGAAAGTGGTGTTTATGTATTAGCTAAGAAAGATACTTTATTAACTCTGTGTGGTTATGATGGCTAAATCCCCTGTTGTCAAGTCTCATCACAAACAGAAATATGGGGAGATCCTTCTGTGTGTCCTGTGGAGGTAAAGAATTCCTGCTTCATAATGCTTCCCATTGTGTTGGAAAGTTTATTATAGCTGATTTTGGTATCACTCGCAATTCCCATCTCCACTACTCTCCCCATCCCATCCCATCCCATCCCATCCCATCCCATCCCATCCCATCCCATCCCATGGCTGCTCCCTGCCTTGAAGTGCTACCCATTGGGATCCAGTTGGGATCAGCAGCATCCAGAGCCTTCCTGACCTCCTCCAGACCCTTCCAGAACTCTCCGACCCTTCTGGACCCCTCAGACAACTGCTAGATCTGCCCTGGGGCCGCCTTTCCCTCTAGGACAGCCCCGCTCCTGCCCTGCTGCAGCCAGGACCATGAGCACTGTCTCTGCTCCTCCCAGCCACTCCTGCTTTTGTACCTTGAAATAAGCAATTTAGCAAAGAAAGGACATGAACAGCATTTATCTGGAATAGTATCTCATGTCTCAACCTACAGAGCCCGCGCCGGACGCTGCTCGGGCTCACCCCGCGGGCTTCGCTCCCCTTTCCCAAGGGACCATTGCAGGGACCCTCCTGAAGATCCCACCCCAGGGACAGCAGCTGGAGTGTGGGAGGTGAGGTGAGTGCTCTGCGGGGAAGTTTCCCGGCTGCCAGAGGAAACAAGGGCAGACTCTTCTGCTTCACCTTAATCGGGGCCCCCTCATTGGGTGGAACCTGGTTATTGATTTTGTGGGCAGAATTGAGGTCTGCAGGGAATTAAAATGTAAATAAATACTATAAATACTGTGGGAAAAGAGAGGGGATGTTGAAATGAGTGTCCTGCTGAAGGAATCCAGCAGCTCAGTGATATCAGCTGACCTGAGAGTCCAGGTCAGATCCATCCCAAAGCCATTTGCTCTCTGATACCTCCATGGGCAATCCTCTCCTTCTCCAGTTGTTTTCCTCCTCCAGCTCTGTCCTGTCCACAGCCAGGAAGGAGGTATCTCCCTGGTTTTTGTGCCAGGCACTCCAGACCAGGCTCCCAGATCCTACTTGCCATCTGTTCTGTTCCTCACCCATTCCTGTGCTGCTCCACATGGAAGCTGTGGATGGGAAAAGATAGGAAAAGCCACGTTTGAGGGACATCTGTGTTGCTCTAGTGTCTCGTCACCCCTCCTGCTGTGTGAGGGGAGGAGAAGCAGCAGAGGTGTCACCATGAGCACACTGGGCTCGTGGGGTGTGACAGCTGGGCTGAAGGTCACCATCCTCTTGGCTTTCCCTGCTGCTGTCTCCTCTCTGACAGCCCTCAGTGCTGTGACAGCTCTGCTTGTCCTCCCCGTGTCCTGCTGGCCCTGCCACCGCTCCCAGCGCTTCCCAGTGCTCCTGTGTGCCCTGCTCTGGCTGCTCTCCTTCCTGCTCTCTGTCACCCTCCATTTCTGCCTTTCACTGCTCATGGCCTTGGTCCTGAGCTGCCTCTTCTCAGTGCTCACCCTGACCTGTTCTGCTCTGGCCCTGCTGGCCAGGGTCCTGCGCTGCCCATGGAAACAGCCCCCAGGGAAGCTCTGTGCCCTGCTCCTGCTGCCTGTCGTCTCCTTCCCCTTCTTCACTGCTGATTTTGGGTACTGGCTCTTGCTGAGGGCGTTTGACTTCTCTGTCTTTGCTCCTGGCTCCTCTCTCCCACTCGCCTGTGCCAAGAGCAGTGCCCGCTCTCTGATTTACTCCTGGGTGGGAGCTGTGCAGAGGAATTCACCCCCTCTGTTAGTGTTGCCTTCCCGAGGGCTTGTGAGGATGTGCCAGAGCCAGGGCATAGGGACAACACAGTGCAGTCTTCATCAAGTGGAATCATCATCATAGAAAGGCATCATAAAATAGAGCCATAAAATATCCAGAGTTGGAAGGGAGCCACAAGGACCATGGAGTTCAGCTCCTGGGCCTGCACAGGACATCCCAACAATCCCAGCCTGTGCCTGGGAGCATTGTGCAAATGCTCCTTGAGCTCTGTCAGGCTGGTGCTGTGCACAGCAGGGGAACTCCTGCTTGGGGCAGTTGTGGGTGACATGAGGAATCCTCATGGAATGTTTTGGGTTGTGTCCTGGTTTAGGGTAAATTTGGGAGGAAACCTTCAACTGGGATCCCTCTAGTAAACAAGTTCAAGCAGCCCCTCCCCCAGCTGGTTCAGGAAAAGATTTCCTTAGAGGAAAGTAGAAAAATCTGTTTATTTAAGAAGCAAAGTATTCACAAGAATAAAAAAGAAAAAAAATTAAACAATAAAATTTCTTGCTGTTCTGAAGAGTTGGCAAATTCAGAAAGTCCTTGTTGTGGAGTGTAGTTTGGCTCACTCAGTCTCTTATCGGTCCCTCTGGTGCTGGAAAATGCCGTGTTCCAGGCCCCAGTGGGCCACAGGTGGGAGCTGCTGCTGCTCTTCTGGGTTTTCAGTCCAGAGCAGGTTTGAACAGTTCCAAGAAAAAGAAAAACTACAGTCCAGGGAACTTCTCTGCCTCATCTAGCTAAAAAAACCTAAAACAAAGGAGTGCTCTCTGTTGCATGTCTGTGCTGCAGACAGCACGGTCTGGGAGCAGGATGTGGAGGAGTGAGCGCAGCTCCAGAAAACAAACTGCCCCATCTTCTCTCCCCCTCTTTGCTCTAGGAACCAATCTTAAACTTATGCTAAGTTTAAATGTGCAAAACCTATTTCTGGGCTAAACAGTCAAATGGGGATTCAATTCAGCATCACAAAGTCTCCCCAGGACAGGTTGGAAGGAACGGTAGAGATCATCTCATTCCATCTCTCCTTCTTCCATGGGCAGGGACAGCCAGGAAACCATTTGCTTTGAAGTCTTGCTCATCTGAAAGGAAGCTCAGGTGGGGAGTGGCCTGGGTGACACTGGAGAAAAGGAAGGTGCTGGGAAGTAGAAAAAGTACATGGAAGAAAATGGTTCTTCTGCACTTGCCTTGGGAGGGATGCCGTGGCTGAGTTGTTCTTCTCTAGACAAGAGGTTGTACCTTGGAAAGCTTCCGCTTTCCAATGAGTAGGAAAATGGGAGACAGGGAGAGAAACCCTCTCAGATGACAAAGTCTCTCTCTTCAGTAAATTATTAACAACTCTGGTAATAAATGCTCCTTAGCTGTTTAACCTCAGGTGTGTCTCCAAAGCTTGACTCACAAATCACAGCTTTCACGCTTACTTCCCCTTCAAGAAGCAGTGGCACATTGCTTTCCCCTGGATTTAAGGCAGTGGGAAAAGGAGGGACAACTTCCCCCTGAGCAAGAGATGTGGCTGCTGCCCAGGTCTCTCCCAAGAGGCATGAGGAGCTCTTGGCACTGCCAACATCATCCCAACCATTGCAGGCACGTGCCTTAGGAAGGGCTCTGGTATGAGACAGGCACCTGCCCTATCACAAACAAGCCAGAGGCTTCAGAATGGGATAAAATAAGGAAATGAGCCATTTTGGACACTGTTTAACAGGCACAGGCTCTGCAGTGATGCCTGTGCCTGTTAAACAGTGTTGAATAAACAACAGGATGTTGTTTATTCAACAAATTCAGAGGCTGGGAATATCACAGTGGAAAGAAACAAAAACCAGAAATACAGATCTGATTGAGGGGTAGTTACAAAATGGCAAAGATCAGCACAGCCTGGACTGTGGCTGAAGCTGCTGTGCAGTCGCTGTTCAGCTCCTCCTGAGGGTGGCCAGGTCCAGGATGGAGCTGGTCAAGGGCTTCCCTGGACACTGATGCTGGGGAACCAGAGGATGGATGGCCCCGTTCTGCAGAAGAGCAGCAGAACCCCTAATTTCTGTGCAATTAAATGGTCCAAGCATCTGGTGATGGGAATTTCCATACTCCATGTACTTTCTGGATATAGGTACAAGGGATCAGTGGAGTTCACTATCAAAGTGTCAGTGGAGGAATCATCGCTGTGGACAGTTTTTTCTTTTGGTTCCTCAAAGACTCTCTGAAGGGAGAGATGGAGGGACCCTGTGGAGAAGGGTCTCCTGCAGCTCCCTGCCAAGAAGTAGATGAAGGGTTTGATGCTGCTGTGGAGACAGGTGAGCAGGGAAAAAGTCTGGGATGACAAAAGGTCGTGACCGAGTTGCTGCAGGAAATTGCAGAAACTGAGGAGGAGAGTGAAGAGCAGAGTGAGGACGATAACCATGTCGCGCCTCTTGGGTTGCTGCTGCTGGGAGCCCCACTTGGCACTAATGAAATCGATTGTGCTGGAAATGAACATGGGTGCAGCAAAGAAGAGCAAGGTGAGAGTAAACATGGAGATGAGCGGCACACCACAGTGCTGCTGCTCGTGTGATGGGCATAGGAATGTCACTGCAGGAATGACAGCAAAGAGAGCAAAGAAGGCAGAGTACTGGACACTGTCCACCACCCACACCAGTCGTTCAGGAAGGTCGGAATGCCAGCAGAGCTTCCAGAGCGTGTACATGTACTGCACATTGCTGTTGAGCATCAGCCGGAACAGCCCCCAGTAGTAGGAGACCACTGACAGCTGGAAAAGGAAACGCAGGTACAGGAGGGGCACAATAGGAGAGCAGGACACGTCCTCCACCAGGATGAGAAGGGCAGAGGGGACGGCAAAGAGGAGGAAGAGGAAATCGGCAACAGCCATGTCAAAGATGCCATAGTTGGGGATTTTCAGGTTGAGGAGGCCGATGACAGCCCCGTTCCCAGCCAGCCCACAGAGGCAGATGAGCAGAGTCACACAGTGTATGGCCACGGTGGTGACATCTGTCTCACACAGATTGTTTCCTTTGGTGGGTGAGATGGCCGATGTGGACACGGTGGTCACCTCCATGGACGGATGCTGGGCAGGCAGTGGGATGGGCAGTCAGTGCTTGGAGAATCCAGGAATAGACCACACCACTCCTCAGCAGCTCCCTGCAGTGGGAAGGATTCAGATGGGAGGAGTGAGATGTCCAGGGGAGGAGGGCAGTGGAAATGGTGGGGTGGGAGAGGGAGGTGGGAGGGTTGGGCTGTTTGGCAGGGAATGCAGAAGCAAAGCTCAGGGCAGAGGAGGGGGGACCTGGGGAGGGCACTGCGGGAGGGCACTGTGGTCACCGGAGAGGGTGGCAGGAACAGAGCAGCTGCTGCAGGAGAGGAAGGTGGGGTAGGGAGGAAGGACTTGCAGCCAGGTCATCAGCACTTAGAGCCCACCCTAATTACTGCCAATCCCCTTGATGATGCAATGAAAGAGATTAGGGAGCAGGAACGAGAGGGGGCAAGTTCAGGTTGTTCAAAAGAGAAGATTTTGGGATTGGGTTGCTTTAAAACAGAAGAGAAGCTGACAAGGAGACAAACTGCTTTGGCCACAGGTCTGGCTGCTGAGGCTCTCTCCTGTTCCTCATGTCCTGGGCAGAGTGAAGAGCAGATGAGGAGCAGAGCCCTGATGCCGTGGCAGGCTCTGAAGCCGTTCCCTGCTTGTGAGAGCCCTGGAGCACACGAGCCAGCAGGGAGAATAGGGGCTGTGGCAGGAGCTGGGACAGAGCCCGCGCCGGACGCTGCTCGGGCTCACCCCGCGGGCTTCGCTCCCCTTTCCCAAGGGACCATTGCAGGGACCCTCCTGAAGATCCCACCCCAGGGACAGCAGCTGGAGTGTGGGAGGTGAGGGGAGTGCTCTGCGGGGAAGTTCTCCAGGCTGCCAGAGGGAACAAGGGCAGACTCTTCTCTTTCACCTTAATCAGTGCCCCCTGATTGGGTGGAAGTTTGTTATTGATTTTTGGAGGCAGAATTGAGGTCTGCAGGGAATTAAAGCTATAAATACTGTGGGAAAAGGGAGGGAATATTGAAATGAGTGTCCTACTGAAGGAATCCAGCAGCTCAGTGATATCTACTGGCACAGAAAAGGCAAACTGAAGTGCATCATCAGGATGTAGAGGGATGGTAAAAAAAAACAGTTTTTGAGGTGTAAAATTACTAAGGGCCAATTGAGGGGAATCATTGTGGATGACGGAAGCCCAGGCTGCAGAGCCCCCATAGGTTCAATAACTGCATTTACTGCCCGTAGATCCTGTAATAATTGTCACTTGCCACTTTGTTTAGGTATACAGAATATAGGGGTATTCCATGGGCTAGAAGATGGACAGATATGGTCTAAAGACAAGCATTCTTCCATAAGCTGTTTTAAATTTAGTAGCCATTCCTTTCCTAGGGGCCATTGGTCGACCCACACAGGGTCTTCAGTCCGCCATGTGAATTTACGTACGTCCAGTATTTGATTTTGGAACAGCTGATCAATGGCCCCTATGAAAAAGGCCCTCCTGTGATGTTGAGTCTATTTGTATGGTCGTTCCAAATTGTCCCAGAACATCTCTTCCCATAATGTGCAAGGTATAGAGGCAATAATAAATGGTGCAATCCAGGCAGTTTGCCCATCAGAGCCAAGGACAAGCCAGAGGTGAGCGCTCTGTCTAGGGTGCTGCATCCCTCCCACCCCAGTTAGTGCAGCTAACTGTGGGCCAATTACTAGGCCATTCATTACTTTTAATGATAGAGACATCAGCTCCACTATCAACAAGCCCTTTAAATTTTTTGCCATCTATAGTGCATGCTAAAGTTGGTGGAGCTGCTGTAATAGAGCTTGTCTAGAAAATCTGGGGCTGACCTGTGCTGCCAAAGTTATCTGTGGCACGTTTGCCTTTGCCACTAGGGGTTTTGTAGGAGAAGGGAACAAGTTGTGCAGTACGTTGACCTGCAGGTATAAAGCAGGGTGGCATAGGGGTGCATAGTATAATGTGTATTTGGCCCTCATAATCTGAATCAATAACTCTGGGCAGTACAAAAAGTCCCAACCTGGTGGCAGAGGAACAACCATATCAACAAAGCATGAATGCTATTACCAAGGGGTCCCCAGACTCCAGTAGGAGCTAAATGTAGCAAACAGGACATTAGAGTTAGGAACTCTCTGGAGGCAAAAGATCCAGCCTGGCACTGCCTGCGGCTGTAGGCAGGAGCTCGCTTGCTAAAAGTCTTGTCTCACTTTTTTTTTTGATTCTCTGGGGCATGAAGACTGGCCCTCAGTTGGAAGTTTCCTGGCTGCGTAGCCTTCCAATTCACAGGGTACTGGGAATGGCAGTCAACAGCCCAATCCTTTCTCCTTCCACACCTGGGACAATCTTTAGATATTTAGATATCTTTAGACATTTTTATTCCATCCCCTAGTTGAGGGCAATCCTTTTTAAAATGACCCATTGAACCACATTTAAAAGAGCCTCCCGCCCGCGTGTCCGGAACTCAGAAGAGCGCGGTTAAAGCCACTGCCAGAGAATTAGTGTTGTAAGCAGTACTTCCCGCATTTTGGCATGTTCTGCTGTGTCACAAGTATGTAGGTTATGAACAGCAAGCAATGCTTTTCTACAATCTTTTTTTGTGTTTGTAAAACCAAGCAGCTGCAACAGAATAACTTTGGCCTCATCACTGTCAGCATGCTGGGAGAGCACGCCTTGCAGTCTGTCCAGGAACTGAACAAACGACTCTGCTGGACCCTGTAAAATATTAGCAAACAACAGGTTAGAATCAATATCCATCCCTGGGAGTTGCTGCAGGACCTGCAGGGCTAGGTGAGCAACGATATCACATGCATGATGGGGGTAGCCTGCCTGCACTGCAGGGACTACAAAGAGACCCTCTCTGGTCAGCTGCACAACAGTGACTGGTGCATTTCTGTCCTGCAGCACTTCTGCCTGGGCTGCACACAGCTCTCGGTAACCTGAGCCAGACTGCAAACTTCATCACTGTCAGGATCATTTTCATTATGCTTTTCCATTATGCTTCTCGTGGGGAGTGAGGACGTACATGTTCCTGATGGATTGTAGGTAGCTTAGGGTGAGATGGGAGGATATCTGCTGCTTTCTTTTACTAGCACCCTCAGTTCTGTAATTACTTTATAGTGTAGCTCCTGATGTGCCAGCTGATGGTTTGGTGCATGTATTACTGGGCAGGCTGTAATGGCCAGCTGATGGTTTGGCACATATATTACTGGGCAGGCTGTAACAACCACCAAACTTCCCTCCTTCATGGCGGCTTCCTGTTGTTTTTGCCAGTGCTGGACTACTGCATTGCCATCTTGGGCAGGAAGTGAGCCCGCCGCCCACTCATGAGATGAGAGTTCTGTGCCAAGGGGTCCTGCCATGCAGGAATTTTTATTGGGGTGAGGCAGTTCTGTGGGGCCTGGGTTGATCTCGGGGTAAGGCAACTCTGCAGGGTTTGGATTAATCTCGGGGTCGTATACGGGTCCTGGTGGCACTGAGGGTTTGGGGGATTAACGTCCGAAGCTGTGAAATGGCCGACATTCGTGTGACTTCCTTTAATGGCCGCCGCGATTGTCCCCCATGTAGCAAGCTTTGGCATCACCGTCCCCGGCGATATCAAAAAGTTTCTGCCGTACTGCTTGCCAGGTTGCTGATCAAAGGGGCCACTAAAGGGAAAATCTTAACTTGATTAGATACCCAGTCCAGCATGGTGCTTAGTTTCACATCACCCATATTAATTGATTGCTGATGTAGGAGCTGCCTTACCTAGCCCAAGCTCCTGCTTTGTTCCAGGGATATTCCACCTCCAATACGTTCTCCCACAGGACTACACAACTCCTACGAGAGGTGCGTGGAGTTTTAAATTCCTGAGTTCCTTCCTGAACTTCTCTCAGATCCTTTTCTGGATCCTTTTCCCAGACTCTTCTCAGCCAGTTCCTTGACCTGATTTGGGCCTGCCATTTGCAGCACTTGGAACAAAGCAACACAGACCCTCTTATGTATCCAAAGGAGGTCACGTTATTGTAAAAATTGGCTGATGTTTATACCTTTAATCTCAACCTGACATAATGGAAACCAAACTGAGGCCTAACAGAACTTAAAGGAAGGAGGGCACCCATTGGCTGGCTTAGCTGCAGTGCTGCTGTCAACGTGTCCTGCCATCCAATCAGCTTCATGCTCATTAACTGTCCATGTGTCCTACCATCCAGTCAGCTTCATGCTCATTAACGGTCCACATCTCCTACCATCCAATCAGCTTCATGCTCTTTAACGGTCCACGTCTCCTACCATCCAATCAGCTTCCTGCTCATACTCTGGTCACGTGTTCCTGCAGCCAATCAGGATCTCACTCCCATCTGACTCGCCCCTCACTCCTGACTGCCTCTCAGCCCTCAGCCCACCCCCTCCCGCGGGCCTGCAGCTCTGCCTTTCCCTCGGGGCCTTCTGGAGAGCGCAGCCTTAGCCACTTTAACAGTCATAACCCCATGTCCTACAGTCAGTTGTACCACACTGGAATCAAACAACCCCAGAAATCCAGATCTGATTGAGGGGTGGTTACAAAATGGCAAAGATCAGCACAGCCTGGCCTGTGGCTGAAGCTGCTGTGCAGTCGCTGTTCAGCTCCTCCTGAGGGTGGCCAGGTCCAGGATGGAGCTGGTCAAGGGCTTCCCTGGACACTGATGCTGGGGAACCAGAGGATGGATGGCCCCATTCTACAGAAGAGCAGCAGAACCCCCTAATTTCTGTGCAATTAAATGGTCCAAGCATCTGGTGATGGGAATTTCCATACTCCATGTACTTTCTGGTACAGGCACAGGAGTTCAGAGGAGTTCATTGTCTACTCTGCACTTTACTAACAGGGATTCAATTCTGGGATTTAAGAATGTGGCAAATTCCCACAGAAAGGACAAGGGAATGTTGCTGTCCCTCCCCAGCTCTGCAGCCCTACCTGGTGTCCCTTCCCATCCACTGGGAATGCAGGGCTGGCTCTGCCGGACAGAAGGGGAAGGATGCTGTGTGTGATCCCAACCCCTCTCCTGCCATCCAGAGGCACCAGCCCTGCAGGGATTTGGGAAATCACTGCCACCCCTGCAGGGTGTGTCCCCAGGGATTAAGGTGTCCCATGCTTTGCAGGCAAGAGCTCCCTGAAAACACCATGAAACTCATCTGCTGAGCCAAAGGAGATGGAATTCATTCCCTGGGGCTGAGGCCATGAGGGTCATTCCATGGGGAATAGAGCTGGGGAACAGCACTGAGCTCAGCTGCACTGCTTGGAGCAATGTGGATCCAGGAGGGAGGAGGAAAGCCATGCTCCAATGTGCTCCCTGCAGAGTATCCCACAAAAATCACCCAAGGCAATACTCCTGCTCCCTTCTCCTGCAGGAATACACCACTATGTAGAGGGTGATCCCATGGTTGTTTATTAATCATGAATTCCTGAATACTATCAAGGAAAACCCTCAGCCTCTGTGCTGAGGTTCTCCAGCAGAGCAGTGGAAGGGATCAGCAGGCTCAGATCCCTGTGTCCCTGGTGTCATCATTGCTGTGGGCTGTTTTTTCTTTCTGCTACTCAAAGACTCTCTGAAGGTAGAGACGGAGGGACCCCACTGTACAGAGCCTCCAGCAGCTCGCCATGGAGCAGGCCCTCCAGGAGCTCCCTGCCAGGAAGGAGATGAAGGGTTTGATGCTGCTGTTGATGCTGGCGAGCAGGAAAACAGCCTGGGAGGGCACATCAATGTAACCGAGCTGCTGCAGGAAATTGCAGAAGCTGAGGAGAAGAGTTAACAGCGCAGTGACATGGATAACCACGTCACGCCTCCGGGGCTGCTGCTGCTGGGAGCCCCGCTTGGCCTTGATGAAGTCAATTATGCCAGAAATGGCCACGGGCGCAGCAAAGAAGAGCAGGATGCCGGTATAAAGGGAGATAAGAGGCACACGGCAGTGCTCCTGCTCTTGTGATTGACAGAGAAATATCACTGAGGGAATGACAGGGAAGAGAGCAAAGAAGGCCCAGGACTGGACACTCCCCACCACCAACCACATTCGCTCGGAAAGCCCCCAGCGGATGCGCTGTAGGATCTTGGCCATATACAGCACAGTGCCACCAGGCCTCAGCCAGAACAGCCCCCAGTAGTAGGAGACCACTGACAGCTGGAAAAGGAAACGCAGGTACAGCAGGGGCATGACAGGAGAGCAGGACACGTCCTCCACCAGGAAGAGGAAGGCAATGGGGACTGTGAGGAGAAGGAAGAGGAAGTCAGCAACAGTCAGCTTAAAGATGCCAGAGTTATAGCTTTTCAGACTGAGGAGCCAGAGGACAGCCCCGTTCCCTGCCAGCCCACAGAGGCAGATGAGCAGAGTCACACTGTGCGTGGCCATGGTGGTGACATCTGTCTCACACAGATGGTCCCCTTCAGTGGGTGAGACAGGACGTGGGGACACGGTGATCACCTCCATGGATGGACACTGGGCAGGCAGTGGGATGTGGCCCCTGGCTGTGGTCACAGTGGATGGGCAGTCAGTGTTTGGAAAATCCAGGGATGGTCCATGAGGATCCTCAGCAGCTCCCTGCAGTGGGAAGAATTCAGTGGGGAGGAGTGAGATGTGCAGGGGAGGAGGGCAGTGGAAATGGTGGTGTGGGAGATGGAGGTGGGAGCATTGGGATGTTCAGCAGGGGATGTGGAAGGAAAGCAGAGGGCAGAGGAGGGGGCCCTGGGGAGGGCACTGCGGTCACAGGAGAGGGTGGCAGGAACAGAGCAGCTGCTGCAGGAGAGGAAGGTGGGGTAGGGAGGAAGGAAACCATTCCACTGACCTGTTCCCTGTGGGGCAGCAGCAGGCAAAGGGGTCTGTGCAGATCAGCGGCTCTTCCTGGTACCTCTTGCTGCTTTGGGATCCATGTCCTAAAGCGGCTCCTGGCAGGTCAGTGACATGAAGGAGAAAGTGCCCAGATCACCAGGAGCTCCCCATTCCCGTCGCGCTGGCTCTCTCCGTGCCCTGTCCCGCTGGAGTCTCACAAGGCTCGGTGCAGTCACAGGGCAGTCGGAAGGGGTTTTACAACTTCGGCTTGCTCAGAGTTAATCAGGATCAGAGTTATTGATCTTGGGGGTTTTTTTCGTTTTGTTTTCCCTGCGAATCAAGTGGTCTTTTTCTTTGTTTCGAAAAACGACGCCTCACTTCTTAAAATTTTTAGAAGTTTATTAAACTATAACAAGGGACAATGTAAAAGAAACAGTGCTCGGCTCCCACTCGCAGCCAGAGGCACTGCCAGAGGCACACTTCCCAGAATCGTAAAAGGCTCAGTACCCGCTCGGTAAGCCACTCCCCCGGTAATCCATCCCCCACATTCAGACACATTCCGCTTTTCCAACACAGCTCCTCCTCCGTCCCGCCCTCCCGGATCTTGTGCAGCGCTTCGGGCTTCGGCTCCCCACAATGGTCAGAGATCAGCGTTACAGCTTTCGACAGGAACACAGTACTCGTATTAGAAAAACTCCAACGCTTACAAAAAAACTTCCGAAAAATGACAGAAGGCGGAAGGATGCTCCTTGTGATCCCAACCCCTCTCCCGCCATCCAGAGGCGCCAGCCCCGCAGGGATTTGGGAAATCACTGCCATCCCACGCTGGGTGTGTCCCCAGGGATTAAGGTGTCCCATGCTTTGCAGGCAAGAGCTCCCTGAAAACACCGTGAAACTCATCTGCTGAGCCAAAGGAGATGGAGTTCATTCCCTGGGGCCGAGGCCATAAGGGTCATTCCATGGGGAACAGAGCTGGAGAACAGCACTGAGCTCAGCTGCACTGCTTGGGGTCATGTGGATCCAGGAAGGAAGAGGAAAGCCATGCTCCAGTGTGCTCCCTGCAGAGCATCCCACAACAATCACCCAAGGCAATGCCCCTGCTCCCTTTTCCTGCAGGAATTCACCACCACGGGGAGGGTGATCCTGTGGATATTTATTCAGCAGGTGACTTCAGGAATCCCTCAGCCTCTGTGCTGAGGTCCTTCAGCAGAGCAATGGAAGGGATTAGCAGGCTCAGATCCCCATGTCCCTGGCGGCATCATTTCTCCGGGCTTTTCTTCCTGGTCCTCAAAGAGTCTCTGGAGGGGGAACTGGAGGGACCCCATGGTGCAGGGCCTCCAGCACCTCCCTGCCAAGAAGCAGAGGAAGGGTTTGATGCTGCTGTGGATACAGGTGAGCAGGAAACAACCTGCGAGGACACAGCGATGTAACTGAGCTGCTGCAGGAAATTCCAGAGGCTGAGTGGGAGAGTGAAGAGCACAATGAGGACGATAACGATGTCGCGCCTCTTGGGTTGCTGCTGCTGGGAGCCCCACTTGGCACTAATGAAGTTGATTGTGCTGGAAATGAGCACGGATGGAGCAAAGATGGACAGGATGATGGCATACATAGAGATGAGAGCTGCCCAGAAGTGCTCCTGCTCATGTGATGGGCACGGGAATGTCACCATGGGAATGACAGTGAAGAGAGCAAAGAAGGCCCAGTGTTGGACACTGTCCACCACCCACTCCAGTCGCAGAGAAAGGTCACAGTGGCAGCAGAGCTTGCAGAAGTTGGGCATATTCAGCCCATTCCTGCTGTGTATGAGCTGGAACAGCGCCCAGTAGTAGGAGACCACGGACAGCTGGAAACAAACTTCATGTACATC